AAAATACAACAAATTATTGCTGAAATACTTCGCCAAAATAATTATCAGCCGATAATTTTTCCCACTTTTGAGGCAAAAGAATTATTTACTACTTCTTTGGGTTTTACGACCGATATCATTCATAAAGAGATGTATATCTTTGCGGATAGAAAAGGCCGCCAATTGGCCTTACGACCAGAAGGGACAGCCAGCGTGGTCCGTCTGGTTTGTCAAAACAAGTTAATCAAAGAAAGTTACCCGTTGAAATTATACTACTGGGCTAACATGTTTCGCTATGAGCGTCCACAACAGGGGAGATACCGGGAATTTTGGCAATTGGGCGTGGAATTAATTAATGCCGAAGGGATTATTGCTGATTATCAAGCATTAAAGTTAACTGCCGACATTTTTCGTGGTTTAGGAATTAAGGGTTTTGGTTTTAAATTGAATTATTTAGGCAACAATGAGACCAAAGAAAGATACAAAAAAAAATTAAAAGACTTTATTAAAAAGACTGTTCCTAATTTGTGTGCTGATTGTCAAAGGAGGAACGAAACTAATCCATTACGGATACTAGATTGCTCGCTTTGTAAAAATAAATATCAATACCCTTCTTATAAGGATGCTTGGAGTGAAAAAGATAACAATTATATAAATGAACTTAATGGCATTTTAGACAAATTTAATTTGCCTTATCAATATGACTATCATTTGGTGCGGGGTTTAGATTATTATACAGGATTAATTTTTGAGATTGATTTAGGAACCGAGAAAGCCATTTTAGGTGGGGGCCGTTACGATAATCTTTACCAAGAAATAGGCGGTGTGGATGTGCCTGCTCTTGGTTTTGCTATTGGGATTGAACGATTGGCGGAATATTTGGAGGAGAAAAAAATACTGAAAACTGAACAAGCAGTAGATATTTTTTTCTTGGCAATGACAACTGAGGCTTATCCGGATATCCTATTTTGAAAAAAAGAATTAGAGAAATGTTTTGTTGGAGACCAAAAATGTCCGTTAGTAGTGGATTATAATCTAAAAGTAAAAA